TCTTTCCCTGAAGTCTTGTGAACCAGCTTGCATTCATGTTCTCATTTCGTGCTGAGATCACAGCTGAGAATTTCGCGTTTTCTGTTTTGCCAGTAGGTTGCGTGTCTTCTGGGGAAGGAGGAATTTGTGAGTAAGCCTCTTTACAATATGTGTATTCAAGTAACTGTCGTGTTTCACTTGCAGTTTTAACAAGCAGAAACTTCACTCCCTGGTGACAGAGCGCTGCTACCCGGTAAGTGTTTATCTGGATGTAGCGTGTCCTTGATGTCCTCCGTGATCTCTAAGGCTCTCTAAACCTGATCATCTGTCTCATTTTTTCTGGATACAGTAAAGACAGAGCAGGGAGGGAAAGCACAAGTCTAAGTAATAGCTAATGCATAAATGCTTCATTACATATGGTAGTTTGCTTGTCATTCAATTCGCATCCTAATTAAGTTGGTGCTTATTTTTCTTTATAGGAAATGGTCCGTGGGAACAGGTACAAGACCATCCGGTGGAGTTTTGTGGAGTCGCTGGAGCCTCCAAGAGTGGTTCATGTTCGATGCGACAGCATTGTGAATCGAGGCAACCTGTACGGCCAGGTGACGGTGCGGATGCACACGCGGCAGGTACAGCCCCTCGCGCCCCTTGCGTTTCCCAGCTGACTCCAACCTGCTGCCAGCCCAACGTAAGTTTCTTGGCTCCGTTGACAGATTCTGGCAATCTATGACCGCTTTGGACGGCTGATGTATGGTGGAGAGCAGGTGCCCAAGGACGTTTTGGAGTACGTCGTGTTTGAGAGGTACTTGGTGAACCCATATGGCGCATGGAGGATGCACGGCAAGATCGTTCCAGAGTGGGCTCCACCGAAGGAGCCCATTGTTAAGGTAATGCCACAAGGAGAAGGCACCAGCATGGCCTGTGTCTGTGAAACATAGGTCCCGAGTTAATTCTGGACAAAACCAAAGCTGAGCTTCCTGTAACGGGAAAATGGTGCGTTAATCTGCAAGCAGACGTATTTATTAATGGGGGATAATCAGCCTCTAGCACCTGGAAGCTGTAACAGGAGGCTGATGGCATTTGACACGTATGTGATAATTTAGGGGGTTACTACTCCCTGTACTTAGCCTGGGAAAGTGATGCAGGTGCTCTGCCTTCCTGTGTTACTAAAAACAGGTCCTAGAAAGGAAGGAGGTGAGAACTATAGTGTAGTACAAGGCATGTCGTCCCATTCCCCCTCTGCGTCCTCCCCCGTGCTGCTGCCATCTGGTCATCTTCCTGTGCAAGGCCCTTGCATTGCCAGAACCCCCCGCTCACCCTTTCTCATGCTCTGTAACATGAGGAATTCCTGTTACAGCAGTTCAGAGCTGCTCTATGTCGTGCTGATTTTGTTCCTTGCTTTTTCAGACTGTGATGATTCCCGGCCCAACCTTGGATCCCTCAAAAGAGTTTGAAGAAACGCAGTAGGAAGTTCCAGAGCCTGTGCAGAGACAGCAGCGCAAACCGCTCTGGAGGGAAGAAGGGGAGAATGTCTGTGGAGGTAGCGGGTTGGATCTGGCTGTGCCTTTCCAGTGAGCAGTCAACAAACAAAGCGGCTTCAGAAATGGACTCCAGTTGCTAAGGATTTGCCTTTAAAGGAGTGAGAGGGGCTTGGGAGAGGGATTCAGATGAGCTCTGAGAAGAGCTTTGCTCTGTCCAAGTAGACTTAGTGTGCTGCAGCTTAACCCTCTCTGTGTTTCTGTGAAGACGAGAAGTCTGTTCTCTTCAGGACTGCTCTCTAGGCTAACCTCTGTCCTGAACTTGCATCGTGAGAGCCCTTGACAGAAGAATTCTGTCCAGACGTGGGATATTTGGCACTTCCATGGGAAATGTCATAGACCTGGTGGGCTTTCACTAAAACTTGCAGCAGTAGGTGTTGGCACTTTCTTTTCCCGTCCTCTTT